GTTTACAAACGTTTTTCATAGATTCTTAGTTTACGCTTGTTGATTTTCAAAATAAAAGTTTGCCGAACACCAAAATCCAACGTATCCTGGTTTTAGTTTTTCACAAAGTAAAACCCACTTTTCGTTGACGTTCATCTGGGTGACATCTGGACTCCAGCTCTGTGAGAAAATGCCGGGGAAACTGAAGCTGATAAGTGACTCAGATATTTCTGTCAGTGTGTGTGATGTGGACACACACTGGCAGACACACATTAGCGCGCCTCTGCCCACGCTGCCTTGTCATAGAGCCACCGCAGCAGCTGGGCCCTCGGTGCCTCACACAGCACGCTGATGTCAAGACTGACACATGGCTGTAAGAGCCGACTGTTCCGCCACCGTCAGCAGCTGCACACAAGCATCTCCTTGATACCGTCTTCGCAGACAGACCTCGTCCGCTTAAAAATGATGTGTTCTCACACACGCTTACTACATTCTAAAGGACCAGCGCTGATAAAGGTTATTCGGAAATAGCCGGAAATTCGCAAAATTGTATAGTATTTGTAAGAGTAGTTATCGTTTTTTTCCTCCGATAATGAAAATCCGATAACATAATGCTTGGGCTTTGCCAAATGATGTGTGCCTTAAAAAATTTTTTGGGGGGGAAAAACGGCTGCATATGAAAGTTAAAATCACTAGATGGCAGCATTGTAGCTTATTTTATTTATCTATTTTAATAATCAAGTCGTTTGGACAAGAATGCTGTATTGGTCGATACTGGAATCAGAAATTAAGCGTTTGGACAATATCAGTTTTCAAAAATATTTTTTGCTAATTTTTATTTAGCTTTTGTCGAGTGTTTACCAGGGATGGTTTGATACAACTTTTTCATGTCCGATTTCAATCCGATACGTTTCTTTGCCGTTGCTGAGGCGATACTGTTCCTATTTTACAGGAAGTTAAGTTGAGCATTGCGGCCAGGTATCGGATCGGACGGGCCATTTTTTTTTTTTTTAAGGATTGGATTGAGCCATCCTTAATCATATCCATATCCACATCACAACAACTCCTCTGACCAAAAACTGCTGCTCAAAAACAAATCCAAACGAGCAACTTTTCATGCTAACTCTCATACCCAAGGTCAATATAGGGCAGGGGTCACCAACATGGAGCCCCGGGGGCACCTGGTAGCCCCCATGGACTACCCAAGGTGCCCGTGGGGTATGTTCTAAAAATCAAACTAGTCAACAAGTGATATTCAAATGGGTTCAGTGACGATGGTAAGAAGAGTGTCTACTATTGGATGTCCCAGAACTAATTAAATCTGTATCAAACAAGTAGCTCTTAGTATTACGTAGTACCCTAAATAAGTACCTTAAGTACCCTACTAAGTAACCTTGAAGTAGTTTGGATGCCTTCCTGTCTCTGACTCTTCATTTTGCTTCGAGCTTCAGCTCCTGTAACTCTTGGAGGTTTTGATTCCTCAACCTTTCCATCAACTGTCCTACTTGTCGAACCTCTTTCTTTTCCACAACACAGCCCTTCTCTGCTAACACCACAATTTCAACACAAGTGACCCATTTTTGCTGCCAAAAAAAAAAAAAAAAAAAAAAAACCCCTGGCGAGCCCGGACACTCCCCACACCGAAGTGAAGTCCATGCCAGTTTTCTGTCGTGACATGAACTCACACTCGCTGTGGTTTTTGTCCATTCACATCAGGACTCGAATCAAATTGCTGCAACACAGATCAGAAGATCAACAACTGTCTGGAACAGGCTCTGATTCTAATCTGCTCGGGCAGACTGTTAGCAGCCATGTTGCCGCATTACAGGGAGACTCAGGTGGTTTTCAAGTGAGGCTGTCAAAGCTGCTGCGTAACAGGTGGTTTCACAATGTAAGCTAACGAGCATGTGTTAGATGCTAACCATAAATCAACTCATTTAAACTGGGAAACAATGTTTAATTATTGCTCACTCACAGATAAATCAGCTGCTGGTCTGCTGCCTCCGGTGGCCAGTTTGGAGGCAGCAGCGGAATCGTCAAGCTCCTTGCAAGATTTAATTTTTGAATTATTCAGAGGACTTAGGTCGATCCTGTAATTCGTCTGTAAAATCTCAAGATTTTTTTTTCACGTTTTTTATTTCTCTAATTCTCAGTGGTGCATCGTGCGTTTCTCAGCTAGCCCTTTAGAGGCGTCCGGCCTGGGAAAAAAAAACCATATCTTAATGATGCTATTGTGTCTTAAGAAACCATCAATGTTGTGCGGAAACGTAGTACAAAGAGTCGTTATATCTTAGATAACTCATGTAGCCTTAATAACGAAAAAAGAAGCGAAACATCAAAACATCAATAATAACATCGTACGATTACTATACTTTTACTGGACGCAGAGAAAACTTTATTTAGGTTCAGGTAAGCCGCTACATATAGTTCGACAGATTAGAGACTGTGTTCTTTGACCATCCAATCAAATCACTCAAATCTCCGTAACGTAACTGTACACCTGCTAGAAAGACTTGGTTTGGCCTACTCAAAATTTGATTGGTTACAGAAACAATCTCATTGCCAACACCCACACTACTGATTCTGAAGGCCTCAGGGTAGATTCCGTTCAACCTAGCAACACATCAGGCTGAAATATGATTGGATAGCAAGAAATGGTCTTGCTAGCCTCGACGTTACGCCACTGTCTGCTGCACCTGCTGCTTCTGTAGCTCTACGGAGGAGATGAAAATGTCTCTCCGCAGTCGTGTGTCCTCCGACCCCAGCCGGTCAGCTGACTGCTTTGACATCGGACTTCTACAGCCGCACCTGTCACCGAGGCCTTGGCAACGGATGAGGTCACAGTCTGGCATCTCCGTCCAACTCTGGACTGGAAATAGACCCTGTTGCTACAAAAGTTACATAAGCTGAGAGTCTGAATGAGTGTGTGCGTTGGCGTCGCTGTTGTTGTTGTTGTGCTAATGACTTTAGCTTCTTCAGGATAGGAAAATGTCTGTTCTGATCTGAGAGACAGAAGGCAGGACAGAGAGAGACATAATCCAGGACGAAAGGTGTCACCCCCCAACCCACCCACCTCGAATTTATTACTGTTGAGAACCTGATAATATGTACTATCTTATCTGTACAAAACACTGGATGAGTTGCTGCCCCCTAGTGACTGGAGGTTTATGGTTCAGACATTACAGCACGGGACTCTTTTGTCCATTGAAAGCCTCTCATGCCCCGTCCCACTATTTGAAAAGTACTGCACTGGGTCGAGTCTAGTGGCTATGAGGAAACAACTGTCACTCAAAAATTAATTTCCTTTTTTTTTTTTTAAATATTTGTGGCTAACTCTTAGCAACGTGTGAGTCAAACTTTCAGTTCCCTTTGTATCTAGGCAAGTTATTTTAGACCAGTGGTTCTCAATTAAATTTTTGTCATGCCCCTCCTTGGGGAGAGAAATGTGTTCACGCCACCCAACCCCCCGACCGCCCC